CTAAAGCCTGCGGGGGCCAAGGGGGGTGGGGGGGGTTTGCACGCGTTTGGGGGGGGGGGAGGCTTGGGGCTCTCGCCTTGGAGGTTCGTCTCGGCCGCCTCGAAGCGCTCGAGTTTGCGCATGCCGATGGCGGCGGGGATGGTGCCCGAGATGCGGGTGCCGGAGATAACGATCTTCTCCATCCGGCTGTTGAAGCACGACGCGGGGATGGTGCCGGAGAGGTCGGGGTTGACCGAGACGTCAATCTCCGTGAGTGCGGGCCCCGCGCAGAAGTTGGCGGGGAGGGTGCCCGAGAGGCGGTCGCCGAGGCGGATCTCCTCAAGGTAGGGAAACTTGTCGAAGATGGGCGGGATCTGGACGGGGGTGGGCGAGCGGGGAGAGGTGTGGGAGGAGGAGGTGTGTGCGTGAGCGTGTGTGCGGTGTCGATGTGTTGCTCCGCTCCCCGGGCGTGGCCCCCGCACACGCACCGTGCCCGAGAGCGTCTCCGACTCGAGCTGCAGCTCCTCGAGCTTGGCGAGGGCCGCGATGGCGGGCGGGATGGTGCCCGACAGGTCGCTCTTCGAGTCCTTGCCCAAGTCGAGCTCTGACAGCGACTTGAGGCCGTCCCAGATGGAGGCGGCCGAGGGGAGCGTGCCTTCCGGCTTGGAAGCGCCGCCGCGGAGCTTGACTCGCTCGACCTCGAACGTGCCGGGCGCGCCCCACCCGCCGGCCGGCGCGTTGTGCGTCATGTCGGCCAACTGTGTCGTCGGGCATGCGCGGGTGAGGAGGGCGGTGTGGGTTGAGTGTGTCGGGCCGTGGGCGGCAGGTTCGCGGACATTGTTGCACCGGACGTCGGACAAGTCGCAGCAGTGAACGCTAAGCATATCGGAGACCCTCGTGTCGACGGTTTTGACAGCGGCGTAGAGACCACGGATAGCCTTGCACTGCAAGTCCGGCACCTGCGGCGCGGCGACCGGCGCAGGGGCCGCTGCAGGAGGGACCGTCACGACCTTGGCCGCAGGGGGCGCTGCAGGGACCTGGGCTGAGGAGGAGACGAGGAAGAGATGCATCATTCTGTCTTCTGTGGCCCGGTGCATCAACAGCGTGCACGCCGTGGATGCGCTTTTTTTTCCGGCGGCGCGGCGGGACTTCGGCGGCAATCCCTGCTGATCTGCCTGCTGCATCGTCGACTGCTGCTGCGTCTGCGGCCGCTAAGAGACACTGACGCCACCAACGAGCGTTCTGACATGCCCTTCCGCGGTCTCGCCCCGCCTACCCTGGAGCGCTGGAGGACGCCAAGAGAGAGAGATCTTCTTGACGCCAATGGCCAAAGCCGAGCGAGAGAGAGTGTTGGTTTTCAAAAATCTCTCTCTCTCCCAAAGCCGTTGCATCGGCCGAGATAACAGGAGACTCAATTCTCTTCGCCGGCCAATGCGACAAAAATCTCAAACAAATACGTGAACAGGGCTCCAGGCCCCAAATGACGTGTGTGGTGTGAGTGTTGGCACTGCTAGCCACCGAGCACGCAGCAGCCAGGTCACTGGTCAGCCGAGCCCCCGCGTAATCCTGCGAGGAATTTTGTTGTATGTCCGTCTGCGTCAACACCCAACCCTGTCACACCCTTATATGCATCTCCCCGCAAACCTGGCGAGCTCTCCTTCCTGCACGTAGCACGTAGACGTTACGCGTGCGTGTCGTGTGCACCATCTCTGAGGCGGCCGCACACGCTGTGTTTGAGCGGTCGGAAGAGAGGGAGAGGGGGGTAGAGAGGGGGAGGTAGAGAGGGAGAGGGGGAGGAAGCGGCTCGCCCGCGGCCTCGCGCTCTCTCTCTCATCTTCATGTGGCGGCCTTCTCACACCTCGTCGGCCGGCGGCGACGGCGGCGGCGACTTGATGGGCGTTGTCGCAGCCGCTACGAGGTCGAGCTCCGACGGGCGCTGCGTGTCCTCGATCGTGTCGTGGCTGAGTAGTTTCGGGCCGAAGATGGCGATGCCTATGGCGCCAACGGGCGCCGTGAGGAGGATGACCATCACCTTGTGGTGTGTGCCTGGAGAGGGGTGTGCGGAGGGGCGAGAGGGCGAGAGAGGCTGCGGGCGAGGCGTCGCGCGCCTTGAGCAGCGTGATCGCGACCGACTGCGCCCCGTCGCCGTGCTGGACGGCGTCCTAAAGAGAAGGAGCGGCGGGAGGGGGGTGCAGAGTGAGGTCTGGGAGGGGAGCGTGCTCGTCGTGCTCGACGGCGTCCTTGACAAAGGCAATGTGGTCGTGCCGGTTCGAGTCCTCGCGGAGGATGACGGAGGGAATGGAGCCCTCCTATCCTCGAACAAAAAGAGGACACGCTTGCACGGGTCCCTCGCGGGAGGAGGAGGGGAGGGAGGGAGCGACTCCTTCGCGACATCGGGCAGCGCGAGGGCAAGGCAGATGCCGAACCCGGCGATCGCGAGCACGTCGTCGAACGAGGCCGCAGCGATGACCATCGACGGCACGCCCTTCTTGGTGCCGAGCCGCCGCGTCTGCATGTCGAGCATGCCCGGCACGACTACCGCGGGCGAGACGGCGGCGATGACGAAGCCGAGGAGGCCGCCCCACGCGGGGGGGAGTCCGAGCAGCGGCCCGGCGAGCAGTGCCACCGTCGCCGCCTCCGCGAGGCACGGGCCGCAGGCGAGACGCGCCGTGACCGCGCCCATTGTCTTGAGCTTGTCGAGGTCGAGTCCGAGCCCGGCGCGGAGCATGATGATTGAGAGGGCCCAGGAGCGGAGCGTGAGCGACCACCACTCGAAGGTGTGCCCGAGCAGCGGGTCCTGCCCCGTGAGGTAGGGCTCATCGAAGACGGCGACGTGCCCGTTGCGCAGCATCAGCCCTGCGAGGAGCATGCCGAGCAGCGCCGGAACGCCGGCCGCGACCTTCTTGATAAGGAAGCTGCCCAGGACGGAGACGCCGTAGAGGAGACCGAGCGCGAAGCCGGTGCCGCCCGGCGCAATCGTCACGCCGATGAGCGGCAGGCAGTACAGCACGGTCCACCACACGAGCAGCACCATCAATCGATACGCGAGCCACGGCCCCCACACACGCCCAATCTCCGCGAGCCGCGAGGTGCTACGCTCTTGGAAGGCGGCGGGGGGCTCCATCGTGTGCCCTCCCGACGGCGTTGCGGCGGCGACCCCACCGGCGAGCTCGCCCATCTTAATACACAGCGACGATATTCGTGCCAAGTCAGACGCCACGAGTCCGCGGGTGATTCTTTTCTGAGCAGTGTACCTTGCGCGCTGCAGTTTTTTTGTAAAATTTTTCTCTGGCGTGCGGCGAAGAAAGGCTCTGGCGGCGCGGGCGGGCCTGGGGAGGTGGGGAGGGAAAACCCAGGGCACATGGTGTGGAAGGCAATGGGAATGGATCCGGGCGTAACTTGGCCTGTCCGAGGTTTTCCGGAAAACAAAAAGGAAAACAGAGGGTCCCCAGCACTTTGCGTTTCCGGAAATTTTCAGGGAAAGCAGAGGGTGTTTGGTGCTCCATTCGGTTTCTCTCGAGTTTCCCTCGGGAAACTCGCGAGTTTCCCTGAGTCTGAGAGAGAGATTTTTAGCAATACCAAACAACTCTAACACTCACACGTAATTTGGGGTTGTTGTGCTGAGTCTGAGAGCTGGTCTGGGGGCAAAATTCTGAGGCAAAATTGAGGAAATCGGCAAGCAACCCGGGTATGTACCATGAAAAAGTTAGTATACCCGCAAAATACCGGTATTTTGCCGATTTTGCTGATTTCGGCCCCCAAATAGCCCAAAAAATGACGATTTTAACGGAGTTTTCCCGGGAAAATAGAGAGGAAAACAGAGAGGGTGTTGTAGAGAAAAAAGGGAAAAGGAAAGGAAAACAGACGGGGTGCGAGAGGAAAACCTCGGACAGCCCAAGGCGTAACTCGTGACAGGAGAGGGGTGGGCGGTATGGACTTCAGCGTGCGTCGAGCGGCGACCCCCGAACGTCTCACCGTACAACGTTGACTGATCGCTGCGTCGCGCCGGACAGCCGAAAGGTGGGTCTGTCGTCTGACAAGGAGTCGACGTCAGCTGTATGGGCTATGGCGCCCCAAACGAAAGACGTGCTCGGTTCCAAAAGATTTTACGTTGCGCAACACTAGGCCTGTCCTCCTTCAAGGCCTAGTAGGGAAGTCCCTTTATGACACTGGGCACGGGTCTGGCACTTTCTGTCCTTCTGTGTGGTAGGGTACTCGAGTCCCCTTCGCTTCCCTTCTACTCGCCAGTAGCCGGCGGGCAGCCGCGCATCGCACCGCCGCTCATGCAACGGTACTTGCCCGTCCTCGGGTGCTGCCCGTAGACACACAGCGCGCAGCCGGAGCTGCAGTCGGCAGCGTAGCTTCGTCCCGCCGGCGGGGCTGTGACGGAGTCGACGTACCAACCTTCGCACGCTTCGCGCTCCCACTGCTGCGGCAGATCGGTGCCTTGCCAGCCGAGGCCAGTCTTGTCGCCGGCGCACCACTCCCCGCCAATCTTGCCATTGAGCCGCTGCCTGCCGCGAAACGCATCTTGCGTGAAGCACTCGGTGGCACCGGCCGCACTCGCGGGAGATGCCGGCAAGGGTGGCGGCGGTGATAGCTTGGGCAGCAGCGGTACCGGAAGCTGCGAGGGCGCGCAATCGTCTCGGCGAATGCAGCGCCCTCCGTTGAAGATGGGTGTGGCTGACGGGCATGTGCACTTGGCTACGCAGAGCTTGATGCAGAACACGGGTTCTTCGCTGCAGGTCGGCTCGCACGCAGAGGCGCAACCGCTCCACACCCGCCCGCCCGTGCATGCCCGTGGTGGCCGTGGTGGTTGAGCCGGGGGTCTGGGTAAGGGCGGCGATCGCAAAGGAGAGGGAGCCGGCGACGGTCGAAGGGGGGGCGGAGCGGGCCGAGGCAGCTTCGGCGCCGCTGCCTCGCCCGATGTGGTCAGCAGCAGCTTCTCCACCACACATTCCGGCACGTTGTTGTGCGACGTCGCCTCTGGGATCCCCGCGGCGCGATCGGAGCCGAACGATGTGAAGAGGAGGTTGCCTGACGGATCGAAGAAGAGGCCGATAGCGTTGCGGATGCCGCGCGCCGCGGTCGTCACCTCCCCGCTCTGCAGGTCGACGTGCGCCAATGTCGTCTGCAGATCCCCCTCCCCGTCGGTGCAACGCGGGTCCCAGTTGCAGTCGGCACCGACAGAGACGACCGCGTGCGTCCCGCTGGGCGCCACTCTGAGCGATCTCCAGCTGTGCGACCGCTGGACTCGAGTGAAGCCACACACCACGCTCTCGATGCGCGAATCGAGGGGCTCAAGCGGTGCCGCGCCGTCGAGCGCCTGCTGTGCGAGCGTGTCGACGCCGTCGATGCGGAGGACGCAATTGCCCCGCGTTGCCGCCCTGTCTGAGGAGCCCCCGGTGGCGACGAAGAGCGACGAGCCGCCGGTGTCGATACCTTGCGGTTCGTGCAGCCTTCGCACGAGCGTTGCCGTCCTGGCAACCCGCCCCGAGGCGGCGTCGAGCTCGACGACGTAGATGGCGCCGCCCGCGCTCGCCGGGCAGAAGCGGTCCAAGGTGGAGATGTACAGCAGTGTCGAGGAAGCGGTGGAGCGCGCCATCTGACGGGCGCACGGAAGCGCAGCGAGGCGCTCCAACTGGAAGGCGGCGTCGCCGCCCACGTGCAGCCCCGAGATGGCGGTGACGTCGACAACTGCTGCCGGATCGACGTCGCCGGGGGCCGCCTCGTAAACCAAGCGGTAGAGGGCGCCGCCTTGCGTGCCCGCCACCCAGTCGTCGCGGTCGGCAGTCATCAGTAGCGAGCCGTCCACGGGGCTCGGCAGCAGGTCGACCGGGCGGATGCGCCTTGAGCCTCGCAGCTGTCGCAGCGGCGGGACGAGCACCTCCTGGCCGGAGACGGCATACGTGCCCCAGTCCAGCGTGTACGCGTTGACCGAGTAGCCAATCCACTGTGTGTGCATACGAAGGAGGGCTGAGAGGGAACCTGGGACGAGGGGGGAGAGGCGTAGAAGGAGAATTGGCTAGGCCTCCTCCACGGCGCACCGGGTCGCGGTTCCACGAGCCGTGTGATGCGACGAGCAGCGCGCCGCGGTATCGCTCCGGCAGCGCGTTGCGCGGAGATGAAGGCTCATAACGTACCAATCCCAGTGGCGACCAGTGCGGGCCGAGCGCAATGAGCGGTGCCTCAGCCGCTTCGCACTCGGCAGCGCTCGCTCCCTCATATGGCAGCTTGGCGAAGCCCGTGAGCGGCCGCACCTCAAAATGTGCCGTCGAGTTGCTCCACGCGCTGTCGTAGTCGTAGAAGCCGCTGTAGCACCGGGGGAAACCGAAGTCTGGCACCGCGCGGGGCGTAGGCGACGGTGGCGGGAGCGGAGACGGCGGCGACGGCGATGGGGGCGGTGGAGGTGGCGGTGGTGAAGGGAATGCGGGTGGCGGCGGAGGTGGCGGCGGTGGTAATGGAAGGGGTGGTTGAGGCGGCGGCGGCGGCGAGGGCGATGGTGGTGGCGGTCCCAGCGAGGGTGGCGGCGAAGGTGGTGGCAGTGGCGGGGCCTTGATCTCGCGAAGCTCTATCTTGCGGTACTCGATCCAGGCGCGCTCAGACTGCAGGCCGATCGGGCCCGCGACGACCTGCAAGGGAGAATGCGGTTGCGTGTGGCCGGCATTTCGCGCAGGCGGGGCGCTGGACGGGGGCCACGCGTTAGAAGGGTGCTACAGGGCGGTGCAATGGCTGCACACCTCCACGCCGGAGGCAACATTCTGCACGAGGCCATTCACCTCGAGAAGGTGGGACGGGGGTCAGTTGCATGTCGGCTGCTGGCGCTAGCCCCGTCTGCTCTGAAGTGCCTTCTCACATGAACCCCAGCGCGCGCCCCAACACCCCCGGGTGGATTGTCACCTCGATAACGAGGTCGGTCCCGTTCATGACGATGCGATAGCGGTTCCACTCCCCGATCGGTTTCTCATTAGATGCCTCAGCCTTGGCAGTGTAGCGACCTCGATGTCGACTGGGATCCGTGATCATCTGAAAGCGGCCGATGTTCCAAATGTCTCCGGCACTATTTGAGGTCAGCTGAGCTTCGATTGACTTTGGCCAGACCTTGTCCTCATCCACGATCCGAAGCAGGACGCCACCGCCGGTGTTGCGCGCGTTCTTCTCGGGGTCAAATCGCCACTCAACCACCAACTCGTACGAGGTGTACGCCTTCTCCGTCCTGAGGTAGCCGACCGGCTGCCCCTTGCACCGGAGGATGTCGCCCTCGACGAAGAACGCCTGCGCGGCGTCGGTGCTCCTGTCCCGGAAGTAGGCGGTCCACCCGTCCAGATTCTCGCCGTTAAACAGCTCGACCGTCTCACCAAATCCCAAACCAATCTGAGGCAGCGAGGTTGCTTGAGGAGGAACAACGGGCGGCGGCAGTTCAGGAAATGTCGCCGAGCAGCCGCGCATCGCATCGCCGCTCATGCAACGGTACTTGCCCGTCCTCGGGTGCTGCCCGTAGACACACAGCGCGCAGCCGGAGCTGCAGTCGGCAGCGTAGCTTCGTCCCGCCGGCGGGGCTGTGACGGAGTCGACGTACCAACCTTCGCACGCTTCGCGCTCCCACTGCTGCGGCAGATCGGTGCCTTGCCAGCCGAGGCCAGTCTTGTCGCCGGCGCACCACTCCCCGCCAATCTTGCCATTGAGCCGCTGCCTGCCGCGAAACGCATCTTGCGTGAAGCACTCGGTGGCACTGGTCGTCCTAGCCAGCTGCAATGTTGGAGGTGGTGGCAGCGGTGGCGGCGGCGGCGGCGGCGGTGGCGGTGGCGGCAGTGGCGGTGGTAGCGGTGGCGTCGGTGGTGGCGACAGAGAGGGCGGATCCTCACAAGGATACAGGACACTGCTGGAGAAGCAGCGGTATTTACCAGTCTTTGGGTGCTGCCCGTACACACACAGCGAACAGCCATAGCTGCAGTCGAAGGCGTCAGGCAATGCCTGCGGAGGTGCTGCCGATGGATTTAGGTACCACCTCTCGCACTGCTCACGATCTTTGTAGTTTGGCGAGTCTGTCCCGGCCCAGCCGAGGTTTGTCCTACCGCCAGCGCACCATTCGCTCCCAAAGCTACCGTGCAGACGTTGCCTGCCGCCGAGTAAACGGGGCGTGCTGCACTCCGCCATGTGTGTGGCACGCACCGACCGCTCAAGTGGCGACCGACCGAGTTTGAAAAACTTTCTGCCGCCGGGATTTGAGAGAGAGAGAGATTGACAACTAGATGCAGGTGGCGCTTCTTTCTGGTGTTAGTGCCAGTGCGCGCCGGTCCCCGGTCCCGTGCCCAGAGAGAAAACGGACAAACAAGCCAAACGAGGTGGGAGAAGGACACACGAAAAAGAAAGAAGTCTTCTGATAAACGCAGTATGGAAGATACGAAGAGACGGAGGAGCAACGAGCGCCCTGGCGTGAGCCGAAGACACTCCCTCCGTAGACACTGATCACACACGGGTGGGACAGGGTGGGTCACAACAACGAGGCACGAGAGCGTGCACGACAGAGCGACAACGCAGCGCACTGCCGTCCAGTCGGCGAAGGGACGGCTGCTGCGCAAAGTGATCAGTTCTAATGAATGTACCGGGGCCCAACGGATAGATGAATCCGGGGCACCCTCCGCTCGAATCCCTAGCCGGGGGTTCGAGGTGGCCCCCACCCTGGGGCCTCCCATCAAAGGGACTGCGGCAGAAGACGCCCAATCTTGCACAAGTGCAAGAACCATACGTCTTCTGATAAACGCAGTATGGAAGATACGAAGAGACGGAGGAGCAACGAGCGCCCTGGCGTGAGCCGAAGACACTCCCAACTGCGCTCCGTCACCGGTGTCGCGGTCTCCCCCACTGAGGGCGATCTGCGGGGGGGAGTCGCGCCGCCGGCATGTATCTGTGCAACTGTGTTTTTGCCTTGTCCCGTTTGATGGAGCAAAGTCACGGGCCGCCCGCGCTTGAAGGCGGTCGCGCCAGGCGCGGGCGGCACTAGTTGCCTGTAAGTTAGCAGCAAGTGGTTGAGTTTAGTTAGGTTGAATTCCGTGCGGGCAGGGCTGGGCAAGCGCTGTACTAGTCCGTCGGCGTCGACGGCGCCGCCGCGCCGGCTCGCTGTGCGTCGGGCGGCGCCAACGTCACTTGCGAAGGGTCGATGACGACGATCCCCGCCGCGTCGAGAACGTCGTCCGGGACGTCGTATTGGTGCGCCAACCGTGGGTGCGCCACCAATAGCAGCCGCTGCCGCTCGGGCACCGTCGCGCGCGCCGACCCTCGTCGTTCTCTCCCTTGTCACTTCCTCCTCTGTCGCGTCGTTCTCTTCTGCCTCGTCCTGCGACGCCGCCGCCTGCCGGTCCCTTGTTCTCGCGGCTTCTTTCGCCTTTCGGCGCAACTCCGTCCTCCTCGCGGCGTATCCTGGCCCCTCGAGTCTATCAAGCTCCCCTCGCGCAAGGACCACATTTCTGACTCCCACTCCGATCATTTTCTCGCGAAAAGAAAGAAAGAAAGAAAACAGACACGCCAAACGAGGGATGGGACGAGGACAGGGTCCCCACCTGCACGAGCAGGATTTTGGAAGAACGATCAGGGGGACAGGTGGGGCTCTCCTGCTCCTGACAAGGGACACGACAGGCTCGCAGCGCGGTGCGCGGTGGACTCCCACATCCACTGGCGGTCTCATCTCAGTCTAGCGACCTGCCTCCAGCTTGTCGCTGGCAGTCTCTCCTACCACAGGCACACTGACACATTTTCTCGCGAGCAGGATCTTGGAAAAGGACCCGATTTCTTTTGTCTGTACAAGCCAAACCCAGTGCGCCAGTCCCGCCAGCGTTCTCGCCAGCGCATGCTCCTCGACACCACTGCTCTGGTCACCGGCGCGAATCGCGGCATCGGCCTGGCGACTGCAGGCCGGCTCGCGGAGTTGGGTGCGAGCGTCGTCCTCGCCTGCCGTGATGAGTCCGCGTGCCGCGAGGCGGCTGCTGCCCTCTCGGTCAGAGGCCTGGCCGCCGAGCCGTACGCCGCGAGCTTCGACGCCGAGTGCCCGCGCAGCACGTCGGCGCTCGCCGCCGCGTGTGCATCCCTCCGCGTCGACCTCCTGGTCAACAACGCCGCCGTCTGCGAGCCAGGCTGGGGCCGCGATGTCGCCCTCCGCTCCTTTCGCACCAACGTGCTGGCGCCTGCCACCCTCACCCGCGCGGTGCTTCCCGGCATGTTGCGGCGACGGCGCGGCGCCGTCCTCCACGTCTCGTCTGGCGACGGCGAGCTCGTCTTCCTCTCGAGCGACCTCGCGCCGCGGCTGGCCGGCGCGGCCTCCGAGCGCGAGCTGCTGCGGCTCCTCGCGCGGCTAAGTCGCGGCCGCGACGGCTTCCGCTTCCCCGACCGGCCGCCCGCCCACGGGCCGACCCCCGCCTACTCTGTCTCCAAGGCGGCGCTCAATAGGCACACGCGGCTCGTCGGCGACGCGCTGCCGCGCGACGGCGGCGTGTGGGTCGGCGCCGCCTGCCCGGGTGACGTGCGGACGCGCATGTGCTCCTGCGAGCGTCACGAGGGTGTGGCCTCGCCCGAGAGCGCCGCGGACGACCTCGCCCGGCTCGCCGCTGGCGCGCTCGGCGGGGGAGGCGGCGAGGCGGCGGCGAGGCGGCTCGAGTCGGGACGGTTCTGGAGGGCGGGGAGGACGATACCATTTTAGCTGCCCTCTCTCGCCCTCTCTCGCCCTCTCTCGCCCTCTCTCGCCCTCTCTCGCCCTCTCTCGCGCCCTCTCTCCCCCACCTTCCTTTGTAGCGTGCGCCATTGACATATCGCTACAGCGACTCAACACAAATATACACGGATTAAGGCGCTCACACAGAGCGGAGAGCGCTGAGCGGGGGTGAGCGGCGAGGCGTGGCCGGACCGCGGACGAGAGAGCCGGCGACACAAATTCTCACAAAACGTATCGAGTGAAGTAGTTTATACGGCTATGCTGCAAATCGTGCAACGTGGGCGGCGAGGGCCACTGACAGAGGCACTGAGGGGGTGTGTCATGTGTCAACACATGTACATGTGCGGCATGTGGCCACTCGTTTTCGTTTGAGACGCTTGAGACGGACCAGAGAGACCGCAGAGACGGGGAGCTCCGTGTCGGCGTTGCCCTCCCCCTCCCGGCGCCCTCGCTCCCTGCGAAAAGGCAGAAGCTCCTAGTATGGGGGGTCATCTGCCTACCGCGAGAGCGACCCAACTCGTCGACATCGTCCGATGGTTGTTTGTGCCTCAAAGTCAGCCTTCGGAGGCTATCGTGGGATCGAGCCGGCAGTAGCCTTGACACGTGGGTTTCTCGATTTCTGTTTTCGACTCTCTATTCGCGCCGTACGCAGTTTTCGAGGGCAGAGGACGCGTTTGGCGGGTGTACAACGCGGTCAACGACGTCTCCCTCGAGTGAGATGATGAAGAGGGGGGACGACACTGCTCCAGCAGCGTGCACCTACCTCGATCCTGTACCGTGTTTGTTAGGACCCCCCCCAATGAACACACCAGTGAGTGAGGGAGGGCGAGCGAGACGATCGAGGGGTTCCGTACCATGCGGAATCGACCCTATCCAGTGCTCAAGTGCTCAACGCGGTCACGCATGAAGAGAGAGAGAGAAGTTTGTTTTCTAAAATCTCTCTCGCATGAACCAAAAACTGTCTGCTTAACGTACCGTGTTTGTTATGACCCCCCCCAATGAACACACCAGTGAGGGTGGGCGAGACGATCGAGGGGTCCCGTACCATGCGGAACCGACCCTATCCAGTGCTCAAGTGCTCAAGGCTGCTTAACCCCAAAATTAGCGAAAATTCGTGCCCGCGGATCCCGCAGCCGCGGATCACTCGAACGCGGAATCGGCCAGGGATCATGAGCGGCTCGGGGAATGCCGCCTGCGCTTCCGCAATTGTCATCAAGGATCCTCATCTAAACTTTGCCTTCGGCGGCAAGGCCGACTTTCGCGGCCGACACAACGCGTTGTACAACTTCCTCTCGACCCCGGACACCAATGCGGCGGCCAAAACGCCTGGGGGCAAAACATGTGCGTGTACTGCGACGGCGACGAGGACAACATTCACGGTCGCGTGTGCCAGGACGAATACGCTGTTACCGATTCGGGGTATTCCGAATAAGGAGGCGGACCAGTCCAGCGGTACACGCTCGCGCATGCTCCACTCGCAGTCACCGCGCCGCTGGTGCGGACATCCTCTCATGCTATAACGGGGATTCCGGCGCCCAACGTGATTCGCGGATCGGCATCTACCGGCCCAGCCGTGGGATGGGGAGGGAGGGGGGAGGGAGGGGGGAGGGAGGGGGGAGGGAGGGGGTCGATGCGAAACTGTTGCACTGTTGCACTGGGAGAGGGTCGGTTCCGCACGGTATGGGCTCGATCGTCTCGCCCTCCCTCCCTGTTGTTGTCGCATTGCCGCGCACGTCGAGCCGCGCCGGCCGCGACGCGGGGCGTTAGTGCCAGTGCGCCAGTAAAATTCTTAAAATCTCAAAAACAAAGAAGAAGGGAGAACAATTCTCTCCGCAGAAAGGCTCGAGTATCAAAAAAGAATTCAAGCATCGCTGTCTCGCCGGTCGCCGGTCTGCCCAGGCCGACATGGACTCGCAGCCCCTCAATCCGAATATCGCAGAGATCGCTCGCAGTGGCCGCTCGTCGTGCAAGAAGTGCAAGCTCACGATTGGCGACAAGACTCTTCGTGTCGGCAAGCAGTACGAAAACGGCGACCGCGTCATGACGACGTGGTATCACCCGGCGTGCTGGCCGGTGCCGAAGAAGCTGGCTTCGCTCGCGGCGCGCGCTCCTTCTCTTCCTCCCTCTCCTCCTCCGCCGCCGCCGCCATTGCTGCCTCCGCCCCGCCCTCGCTGCTCGATCTTTCCACCGACCTGCTCGCTTGCGATCATTTCGCAGGATGTCGAGAACTGGCACAGCCTCTCCGACGCGCACAAGCAGCTACTCATCGACCGTGCACCCAATCTGCCTACCTGCGCCTCACCTGGGTCCTCCACACCCAGCTCCTCGGCGCTGGCCACCGCCACTCTCGCCGACTTTGTGACGCTGACGCAGCGCCTCGAGGCGGAGGGCGGCGTGGGTGGAGGCAGCTCGCTCGAGAAGCAGGCGATCGTCGAACGTCACTTCCGCAAACTCACGCATCCCCAGGACCGATACCTCACCGCGCGGCTGCTGCTGCCCGCCAAGGCGCGGGCAACCTCCTCCGGCCTCTCAGCTCGATCCCGGCTGAGCACCGGCGGAGCTCGTAGGGGCAGCACGACGACCGGACCTACTCGCTCAAGGACAAGTCGCTAATCTCGCACCTCGCCGCCGTGCTGCGCTGCTCCGAGGTCGCGATGGCGGCGCACCTCGAGAACAGCGACGACGTCGGGCTCAGCGCGCAGCACTTTTACGAGCGGTCGCCCGTGCTTCCGAGCCCGCCCCCGCCCCCGCTGCCCCTCGCCGCCGTCAACGACTGGCTCAACAAGCTCGCCCAGCCGTCCGCGATGACGCGGCTCCTGCTCGCCGAGATCGTCCCTCGCACGGCGCCCGAGCAGCTCAAGGTGCTCGTCCGGATCGTGCGGAAGGACCTGCGCCTCGGGGCGGGCGCAGCGACCATCCTGAAGGGCATCGGTGGCGAGGGCGCGTGGGCGAGGTTCAAGGCGCAGCCGCACGAGCTCGAAGCCATCTGTCAGCTGCAAGCCGGCACCAAGACCGCCTCCAAGACCGGCGGCGGCGGCGGCGGCGGCGGCGGCAAGGGCAAGGGCAAGGGCAAGGGAGTCGGCGGCGGCATGGTTGCGGCGGGGCGGCCGTGCAAGCCGCAGCTCGCGGGGCAGTGCAACTCGTTTGAGGTGCCCGTCAAGAAGTTCCCAACGGGCTTCTTCGTCGAGGCGCCGCCGCCACCTCTGGCGCCGCCCTCTCGCCCTCGCCTCCACCGACACCCGCCGCCACGCCGAGGCGTTGCGTATCGCCGACACCCGCCGCCACGCCGAGGCGTTGCGTATCGCCGACACCCGCCCTTGTCAGGTCACTCCACCGACACCCGCCCTTGTCAGGTCAAGTACGACGGCGAGCGGCTGCAAGTGCACATGACCCGCGACGGCGGCGTCGCCTTCTTCTCGCGCTCCCTCAAGGACGTGCCCGCCACCAAGGTGATCGGCCTCGAGGCGGCGCTGCGCAAGGCCTTCCCGCCCCTCTCGCCGGGAGGGCCTGCGCGTGAGGTGGTGCTCGACGGCGAGGTTGTGATGATGGCGGCCGACGGCACGGTGCTCGCCTTCGGCGCGCAGGGCGTGCACGAGCAGAAGAAGCACAAGGACGCGACCTGCTGCCTCGTCGTCTTCGACCTGCTCGCGCTGGACGGGGGAGCCCTCACCTCCGAGCCACTGCAGCGGCGCCGCCAGATCCTCGAGGCTGCCCTCGTGCCGCAGGAGCTCGCTCTTTCACCTAGTCGCTGGCTATCACTGCAGTCACGCCCAAGATGCATGGAGCGCTACCAAGGACTAGCAGGCGGGGTCTCACTCACATGCCCCCCTCCGCAGGAGAAGCAAGTTCGCCTCTCCGACTGCAAGCTCATGCGGACGAGCGCGGGCGTGGCAAGGGCGTTTGGCGAGGCGGACGCGCAGAATCTCGAGGGGCTGATGATCAAGGATGCGGCGGGGCCGTACGTGCCGAACGACCGCAAGGTCTGGCTCAAGATCAAGAAGGACTACCTCGGCGAGGCCGCCTGCGACGCGGCCGAGGTCGACATGGCCGACTCGGTGGACCTCGTCGTCCTCGGCGCCTTCTTCGGCACCGGCCAGAAGGCATCCCTCTACTCGAGCTTCCTGATGGGCTGCTTCGACGAGGAGGAGGACGCGTGGCGCGTGGTGTGCAAGCTCTCAAACGGCTTCTCGATGGCGCGCCTCGAGGAGCTCAAGGGCGCGCTCACGGGAGGCGACACGCCGCTCCTGCGCCGCCTCGACCCCACCGACGAGCTGCCGAGCTGGTATCCGCAGGAGGCAAAGGGAGGCAGCCGCCCCGACGCGGTCCTGCGGGCGGCCCCCTCCGACGAAGAGGGGTGCTTTGTGTGGGAGGTCAAGGGTGCCGCTTTCACCGAGGGCAACAAATCGACGGGCTCCGCCTTTTCCATCCGCTTCCCGCGCCTCGTCCGCGAGCGCGACGACAAGGAGGTGTCGGACGCGAGCACGGCGGAGTACATCCACGGCCTCATCAGCCTCAAGAAGGGCACCGTCATCGACCTCCCCTCGCTCGCGGGCGGCTCCGGCTGCGGCGGCGACGCGGGCGGCTCCGCGGCGGCCGCCGCAGCGGCTGGCGACGGTGAGCAGGAGGAGGAGGAGGACGACGACGACGAAGAGGTGCCCAGCTCGCCCGGCTCGCCCATCTCGCGCGCTCGCGCCGCCGCGGCCGGCGCCGGGCAGGCGAGCAAGGACCCGAGGCCGCTCTGCCGGTTCGGCTGGGACTGCTTCCGCAAGAACGCGAACCACAAGGCGCAGTACCGCCACGACGAGGCGCCCGCCCTCGGCCGGGCGCCCGCGGGCGGGGCCAACGCGGGCGAGGCCAAGGTGGCGGGCAAGCGCAAGCGCGCCGCCAGCGACGAGGACGGCAGCGGCGGCGAAGGCCGCCGGCAGCGCACGGCGCACGACGAGGGCGGCGAGGGCGGGGCGGCGGACGAGTTCGAGGTCGAGTCCATCGACGAGGACGAGCCGGCGGACGACGAGGGCGCCCCGGCCGGGGAGCAGCAGGCCGGGCAGGTGGCGGCGAAGGGTGGCGGCGGCGGGGTTGGCCGGTGGGAGGTGATGCTCGGAAAGACGTTCAAGCCGTTCGTCGAGGCAATCTCGGACGAGATCGAGGAGGCGTGGCGGGCGGGGGAGGGGGAGGTTGAGGTGGAGCTGCGAGGCGAGCCGTACGTCGTCCGCTTCCGCGACATGGTCCAGGAGGCGAAGGGCGACTCGTCGCGCTGGCGCTCGGTGCAGCGCGTCATGTGACATCGAGAGAGCACAGCTGTGTCCTGCGGCGTGGCGCGTGTGCCGGCGAGAGTGGCGCGCCGGCCGCGGCCGCGGCAAGTTGCACGACGTCCCCCGCAGGCGAGCGTCTGGACAAGTTTGCGATGTGAGAATGCTGGGTAGTACAGTGGGCCCGGTATATACGTGAATGAGCCGTCCATTATGTATTTATAGAGCTAAAGTGAGACCAGAGAGAGAGACCGTAGTTCCGCGAGAGAGACCAGAGAGAGTGAGACCGATTTTGCAGCGAGTCGGTCAGACTATCACGAGCGACACAGACACAGCGGGAAGCGCGTGTGTTCAAGACACCGCCGCGGAGAGCAGCTAGTACACAGTCCACATCGCGCCCACTGCTTGGCCACAGAACTCGGGCCGCGCGCCCGCAGAGTTGATGGGTCCGCTCTGTGGCACAGCAGATTACTGCGCGAGACGCAGCTCAAACCTGTGGCGGGAGGGGCGTGCACGCGTCAACACGCGGGCGCGAGGCGATCTTGCGTGTGCACGCGGCACCTTGAACCCGTGCGACCGCAGGCAAACCTTATGCGCCTCGATGTACTCTCCACAGGACTCCTCACCCTTCTCGACAACACACTCGTCGCGCGGCTTGCGTGTCTCCGGACAGGCACAGCAGATTTTCAGTTTCGGCTTCTCCTCTTCTGTGGCGGCCTGAGGAGAGGCGGCTTGCGACGACGCGGCTTCGCTCGGCTGCATGGAAAATGCGCGGAAAAAGAGAATCGCCGGCCCCGAGAGACTTATTATTAAACGTATTATTAAACGTATTGTGGCCCTTAGGTAGGTAGGGGGCTAGAGAACACACGCACATCCCTCCTTTCTCTCTCTCTGATTGCACTCCAAGTGCTCCAAGTGCGCGGGACCTCGAGAGACTTATTATTAAACGTATAGGTCCAGTTCGAGGTGGGTGGCGTGAAGAAGGTGATCGACTCGATTATCGGCGTCAAGCAGGGCGACCTACTCGGCCCCGAGTTGTTCATCTTCTTCATGGCGGCGGTCATGGAGACGTGGCGCCTCCACCACGACTTCGAGCTGTGCGTCGTCCGCTCGAAGAACGATTTTGTCCTCACCGGTCGGCGCCCGTCTACCGTCGGCGATGTTGAGTTCTCCCTCAGAGACTCCATGTACGCCGACGACGCGGGCCTCGCCTTCTGCTCTCGGCGCGGCGTCGAGGTCGAGACGCCCAAGGTGGTCGCGCACTTCGCTCGCTGGGGCATGGAGATCCACGTCGGCAAGGACGGCTCCAACGGCGAACCTCGCAAGGACTCGAAGTCGGAGGTGCTCTTCTGCGCGGCGGCGCCGACCTCGTACAACAACCCCGCCACCTACGACGGCGCCGACCTGTCCGACATCAAGCTGCCCGGCGGCTGCTTCATGCCGGTCGTGGACCGCTTCAAATATCTTGGGAGCTACCTCAACCGCGACTGCAGCGACGGGCTCGACGTCGACAGCCGGATCGAGTCGGCAGGCCGAGCTTTTGGCGCTCTTCGGAAGTGCCTTTTCAGCTCGAGGGACGTCTCGTTTGCCGCCAAGCGCGCGGTCTACACCTCGCTCATCCTCTCCATCCTGCTCTACGGGTGCGAGTGCTGGGCGCTCACCGAGCGCCTCCTCCACCGTCTCCGCGTCTTCCACGCACAGTGCGTGCGTGCGATGTGTCGAGTCACACGCAAGCACGTGTGGGAGCACCACATCACGACTGGCGAACTCTGCGCCAGGCTAGGTCTCGACTTCATCGACTACTACATCGACCGACGCCGGCTGGGCTGGCTCGGGCATGTCAGCAGGATGGATTTCAATCGCCTACCTCGTCGCATGCTCTCATCGTGGGTGCCTCACGGCCGGCCGATCGGGTGCCCCAACATGACGTTTGGGCGCAGCATCCGCACCGCGCTCGACAAGTTCCACATCGACCGCTCGAGGTGGCCCGAGCTCGCCGCCGATCGCTCGGCCTGGCGCCAGACGCTGGAGAACAGGCGCCCGCCCGACGCCTTCTTTGCCATGCCGGCGAGGGCTAGGCCGCCCTCCCCGCGCATTGCGCGCACTAAACCAGTGCGCTCATGCTTGGCGAGAACCAATGCAGCGATGGACATCTCGCTACAGGCGCTCGCGGGGTCGTGAGTGGGGGTCCCCACTGCTGCCCCTCTGACTATACTTTTGTCTGTGGTGATGCCTTTCCCTGAGAACGCACACAACGCCTCGTGTGTAATGCCCTGTGTTCCGCGAGTGCGTGTGCCCCGTCGTCCATGCTAGGACGTGTGTAACACTGACTGACTGACTGACTACTAAGAGGCGTCCATGTGTGATAACGATCGTATGACGTATGTGCGCCCCCTCTCTCGTCCCTCTCTCTCGACACGCCCGGGGGGCGCCGGCGCGCCGGCGCCGCGGCGGCGCGAAAATGGTTAATGGAACAAGGGGGCCCAAAATGTGCAACGACCCACGGCCACGCGCCACCGGCTGGTGTGTTAAACCGCGCCTCTGCGCCGCGCGCCACGCCGAGATGGGCGAGTCTCTCCGAGACGAGAGCGTGTGCTCTTAACATATATAGTGCTAAACGATCATTAAAACGAAAAACGTCAATGGAGAAAAAGCAAATGCACCATATGCAGGCCTGGGCATGGTCCGCGAGACACACGCCGGCGAGTGTGCGCGGTCGGTCGCACACACGCAGGCACACTCACACGCACATTTCGTCCAAGCCGCAAACGTAAACATGAGCAAAAGTGTTCAAGTGCGGGTTCAGTACAGTCTGGACGCGAGCGGCGCAGCGGAGAGGGGCCGGAGCGCAGCCGGCCAGCCGGAGGGCGGTGGCGACTGCAGAGGCTCCAGCGCTAGCCCATCCTCCTCCACTCGGCACTCAAGCGCTCGCTTGCAGCACGCATGGTCATCGGGGGGGGGCGCAGCATGGCTCCAGGTAAGGGCGGGGCGATCGGCGCGGCCGCTCTGGCGGCGCGCGAGCCGACGCGGCTAGAAAGTCAGTCGAGGCCCGACTTAGTCGAGGTAGAGGGTCGTGACTAGCAGGGAGAGCGCCTGCGGTGGCGTCGTGCGGGGAGGGAGGGCGTCGGACGTCGCAGGGGAGGCGGCGGAGGTGGGGAAGGGGGCGGAGGAGAGGGGCGAGGGGGGAGGAGCGTGCGCCCCCCGCCCTCGCTGCAAGCGCGTGTGTGCGCTGCAAGCGCGTGTGTGCGCTGCAAGCGCGTGTGTGCGCTGCAAGTGCGTGTATGCGCTGCAAGTGCGTGTATGCGCTGCAAGTGCGTGTGTGCGCTGCAAGCGCGTGTGTGCGCAGCAGGTGCGTGTGTGCGCTGCAAGCGCGTGTGTGCGCATGCGCTGCAGCTGCGCGCCTTGGCCTCCTCGATCGTCTCGCGGAGCGTGTTCGAGTCGTGGAAGGCGAAGACGACGAGCTGGTCGCCTGCGGCGGCGCCGGCGGGGCGGCAGGGGTCGGCACACCGTGCGCGGAGGAGCGGGGGGGGGGGGGTGCTCTCTCCTCGCCATCTAGCGGCGTGAGAAGACCAGCAGTGGCGATGCGGCGCGGAGCGCTCCGTGCGGTCTGTGAGGTGAGGCGTCCCGCGCGCACCGAGGGCGAGCAGCTCGGAGTTGCATATTCGCGAGGCGGCGTCGAGCGGGAGCTCGTCGTGCCCGAGCTCGACCACATTCTTCACCTGCCCGAGCAGCTCGCGGATTTCGCGGGGCTGCCGCCCGATGGTCTGCGGCAGGATCACGGTGAGCAGCTCTTGGTTCTCGGCGCGCAGCGCGCCGCGAATGGCCGCCGCGTGCGTCCCCGTGGCCCCCGAGGTATACAGGTGGTTCTCCGAGAGCACGAGCGCGTACGACAGCAGCTCGATGATCTGCTGGTGTAGGAAGGAGCAGTGGCGTGTGCCGAGGATGACAATGTTCTTCGGCGTGCCCTGCTGTATGCTCTCGAGCTGCTTCAGGATTGTGTTGACGGAGAAGTCCGCATTCTCCATAAGCGCCGAGCCGCCGCCTCCGCCACCAGGCGCCGCAACACGCTCGCCTGACCCCAGCCCCTCATCGCTGCTGCTGCTGCCCTCTGTCGCGGCCGTGAGGCGCGCGGAACGGCACCCCTGCCAGCGCGCCCGCCGGTCGGTAGGCAGCAGCCTGCCCGTCGACCAGCCAATGCTCGGCGTCAGCCCGCAAAGCAGCAGTGCTAGCAACAACCTCGACGAGAGCCGCGGCATATGTTGCGACAGCTACGGACACACACACACACCGACCGCCAGAGTATTTCTTTTATTTAAGGTTCTGAAGTTGACGATGGTTCTTGTCGAAAGGGTATGGGAGAGAGAGAGAGAGAAGAGAGAAGAGAGGAGAGAGAGAGAAAGAGAGAGAGAGAGAGAGAGAGAGAGAGAGAGAGAGAGAGAGAGAGAGAGAGGAGAGAGGAGAGAGAGAGAGAGAGAGAGAGAATAAAGGTAAATAAAACGGACACGCCAAACCGCAAACGAGGGGTGGGAGAAGGACAGGGTCTCTTTCCACCTGCACGAGCAGGATCTTGTAAGCAGTAAGGACGATCAGGGAAAAAGAGAGAGGGACAGAGAGACTTGCGCTTCTCTAATTCTTTTATATTTACTGCGCACACATTCGCCTATTTTTTCAACGCCGCACACAATCACGCAATCACACAGAAACACGTTGTGCTCAGGTTGTGCGCGAATCCTCTCGCCACTCTACGGTCGCGCTCTCAGTCTCTCACTCGACCCCTCCCCCACGTCCGACACGCGACACAAAGGTGAGAGATGCGCAAGAACGAGTCCCGCACCGGCGAGACGAGTCCCGTCAGCCGTAGAGCGCGGCATCCTCATCGCAGCCGCCGGCGCTCACAACGGGCGGCCACTCGCCCGCAGCCTCGGCGGCAGCACCCGCCGCGGCGGCGTCGGCCAGAGACGGGGCCGCCGCCGCCGCGCCGGTGTGGGGGCGCAGGGGCGGCGCGCCGTCTGGCCGGGGGGGCAGCGCGGCGTGCAGCTGCGCGAGTGCCGCGAGGTAGCGCGGCCGCAAGTCGTCGGGCGCCTCGGCGAGCCAGCCGCGGCACGTGTCGAGTATCCGGTCGCGGAGCGAGGCGAAGTGCGCGGCAGCGACATCCTCGAAGCCGGCGGGCGGGCTGCGCAGCGCGCCGAGCATCGCGTGTCGCATCGTGTAGAGCCGCAGCTTGGCGTTGTACTCGCGCGACTCCGCAGAATCCGGCGCGACGCCCTCGTACCCCGGCTCGTTCTGGCACGGGTGCGGCACCAGGATCTGCGACTGGATGGAGACCGCGACCTGGAAGAGGGTCGAGACGGCGGGGTCCCACTTCTCGGTGGCGTTCGCGCTGTTGAAGGTGCCCAGCAGCGAGAGGCAGACCTGGCGGGGGCGGGGTGGGGGAGGGGCGGTGGGCGGGCAGGGGGCAGAGGGCACGCTGCACGAGTGTGCGAACGGGCGAGCGCCGCCGCCTTGCCGTCGGCGTAGAGGTTCGGGTTGAACTTGACGGTGCCGCCGCCGGTCGTCTCGAAATGGACGAGCGGCGGGATGGACGGGTACTCTGGCGGCGCGTAGACGTCAAAGACAAACAAGCCGTGCGCGTACGGCGTGTCGACTGGGCCGGAGAGGACGAGGCGCCACGTGTCGAGGCGCGCCTCGTCGTGCCGCACGAAAACGGCCGCGTCGGGGTGGAGGGGCAGCTGGCCGCCGCGCAGCCCCTTGAGCTCGCGCATCAAGGCCTGCAGCGCGGGTGCGGCGCGGGTGAGGGGCGCGTGGCCGACCCGGCGTCGCCACGCGTGCGGAAGCGCGCCTTGCGCAGCGCCGGAGCGCCCGCCGCCGCGTCGGCGCCACGCTCCGCCTACAACGAGCAGCGGTCCTCCCCTCCCCTCCCCTCCCCTCCCCTCCCCTCCGCTTCCCTCGCCTGCGAGGCGTAGTGGTGACGCTGCGCCGCGCCCGCCTCGAGCAGCGGCGCGCTGTCGCAGACGAGCTCACCGAGCGCCTCGCTGTACGCCTCCACCTGCGCCTCCTCAGCAGGCAACGCCTTGCCCGGAGGCCCGAGCTCCGCCTCGAGACGAGCCAGCGTCGCGTCGGCGGACGCGTCGCCGCCGGCTGCCGCGACGCCGCCCTCGAGTGGCGAGGACGCGGCGGCGGCGGCGCCGGCTCCTCCCTCGGCGGCAGCAGAGAGGCGCCGCAGCAGCGCCTCGAGCTCGACGAGCGCCGCGTGAGGCAGCAGGTGCTCGCGCGCCACGATGGCGGCAACCTTGCGCAGCACGGCGAGGTCGAGGTCGTCGGCGGCCGCGAGCGCGCCCACGAGTTCGTCGCCCCGCCCCGAGCCGATGCAGCGGAGGAGCACGTCGCAGAGCGAGGCGAGGAGGGAGCGCGGGTCGAAGCCGTACGGGTCGGAGGCGGAGGCGGCCGAGGCGGCGGCGGCGCCCGTCGCGCGCACCTTGAGGTCGAGCGAGCGGCGGCCGCAGAGCAAGTCGAAGAAGGTGATCGAGACGGCGGCCGTGCGCCCCGCGAGCGGCGCCGCGGCGAGGAGGGCAGCACCGGCGCTGCTCGCCGCGATGGCCTTCATCAGCTTGAGGGTCGAGCCGGCGGTGCGCAGCAGCGAGCGAGCGTAGCCGACGTTGTGGCTGTAGGCCGGGTCATGCTCGGCGGGCGGGCCGCCGGCCGCGGCGGCCGCGTCCTTCTTGTTGTTCTCGGCGATGCGCTTGAGCGCCTCCTCGAGCTCGTACAGGAGCGTGTCGAGGAGCGCGTGGCCGAGGGGAACGAGCAGCGATGCTCGGCGCGAGTCGTCGGCAGCGAGGGCCTGCAGCCGCGCCGCCGGCTCGGGAGCCTCGAGGAGGAGGAGGAGGAGGTCGTTGCACGTGCCTGCCGAAGGGAGCGGCGAGGGGAGCCGGGGCGGGGGCGGCGGCCGGGGGGGGGAGGGGGGGGGGGGTCGGCGGGGCCAGAGGCGAGGCGTGCGCCGTGCACACGGAGAACTACACGGGCCGCGCCTCGCACGGAGAACTTTTCGAAGGTCTCCGCCTCTACGGCGTCGACATCGAGCCCCTCGATGGCGTCGACCGCGTCGTAGACCGCCGCGAGCGGCTCGACGAGCGACGCGCGCAGCGCCGGGTCGCCGAGGACCGCGTCGGAGAGGCGCGACGAGATTGGGTCGCCGCCGAAGAGGGCGCGCGAGTCGGAGCGCCGCCCCGGCAACACGATGGCGGCGAGCGCGTCGACGAGCGCCGCGAGGACGAGGGGCGAGCGGATGAGTGGCCCGCCTGCCGGCGCGAGGGCGGGGCAGCCGGCGCGGAGCAGCTCCGCGAGCGAAGCCATGAGCGGGCGCAGCTGCGTGGCGGCGAGCTCGTCAGGGCGGTACCTACCCACCGCCGGAGGCGTGAAGAGACGCTGCCCGCGGCCGGGTGGCGGCGAAGAACGTCGGGGCGGCACGTGGCGACGAAGCGGAGCCACGCGGCCATGTCGAGCAGCGCGAACTGCGGCACCGCCTCGAAGGCCCGCCGCGCGGACTGCGGCGGCGAGGCGCGCGCGAGGGAGGCGAGCCAGCCCGCGTGCAGCCGCGTGAAGTCGAGGGAGAGCGCGAGCAGCGTCGGCTCGGCGAGGAGGGCGATCCAGCACTCCTGCATCCGGTAGATGTCCTCGTCGCGCTCGCGCTGCTCGCGGCCCGCCAGTGCCTGGCTGCGGTGCGACTTGTGGAACTCCATGTGGCGCACCGCCGGCAGCAGGCCGACGTGCATCGCGTACTGCGCGAGGAAGAAGGCCTCGCCCACGAAGGGGAGGGCGCCTGCTCGCAGCCAGAGGTTTGGAGGCGACGCGCGGCACAAAGCCTCCCCGGCGGCGTGGTTAGGGCAGCCTCCCTCGGCCGGCGAGGCCGGCGAGGCCGGCGGAAGCGACACGGCCGGCTCCGGCTCGTCCAGCTCCGGGAAGAGCGAGCCGCCGCCCGAGGCGGGGGAGGCGGCGGGCGAGGCGCCGGCCGCCGGCCGCGATGGCGCGACGATGCGGCCTGCGAGGCGCGAGCACGGCGCGTAGTCTGGCCGCTGCACGTGCGGCCGCGGCTCGTAGAAGCGGAGAGAGAGCTTGGCGAGCGTCGCGGGCGGCGGGGCGCCGTCGAACTTGAGGAAGGGCGCGCAGAGGCGCAGCAGGACAGAGGAGAGCGCGACGAGGCTCTCGTCGGGCGCCGCGCGCGCGACCGTCTCCGTGTAGACGCGCGCTCGCTCGGGCGAGAGGCGCGAGGCGGCGGCGCGGATGTGCGCCGCGCGGCCTGCGGATCCGCGCAGGATGAGGGACGCCCAGCCGAGCACCTCCTCCTTGGCCTCGGGCGAGTGCGAGAGAGCCCTGCGAAGCAGTCCGTGCGCCGCGGCGTGCGCCGACGCGAGCCCCGCCTGGGGAAGCGGGAGGCAGCTGTGTGTCGCAGAGCTGGGAAGAAGAGGACAGAGGGACGGCACACTCTCCCGCGCCTGGATGCCCGAGACGACGAAGCGGTACTCGGTGTGGTTGCGCACGGAGAGCATGCGGTCCATGTTCGACACCTCGGCCGCCGACTCGTGCCTCCGCCGGGCGGCGAGGGCGGCGCCAACCACCATCGGGCAGCCGAGGCCTACGACAGGCCGCGCCTTCCTCGAGCGCCACACCTCGGCAACATCTCGGACACACCTCGGCCACACCTCGGCCGCATCTCGGCTAGATCTCGGCTAGATCTCGGCTAGATCTCGGCTAGATCTCCGCCGAAGAGGGGGGAGATCTGGCCGAGCTGGCAGAGCTGCTTCGGCGTCCACAGCCCGGCAGAGAGCATGCTCGCCTGCAGCGGAGGGAGGGGCAAGGGGGGGGGGGGGGGGGTCCCCATAAAGTCGGGGG